TCTTGCTCCCTCTCTCTCTCTCTCTCTCTCTCTTTTTTCTCTCTCCTCTTTCTCTCTCAACCTATTTTGCATGATGTTTGTGGATTTTGAGAGCTGCATTTATTGATCAAAACTTGTCAGATCCGACAGAAGCTTTTAGAAGGGTTTCTATACCCAAAACCACAAAAATTTCATTAGAGTTTTCTCATCTTTTCCTTGGGAGGGTGGAGGGAGAAGTGGGGAGGCCCCCGAAGCCCCCAGAGGGGACAGGAGCAGGGGAGCCGGCTCCCGGCACACGGCACCTCCTTGGCTCAGCCCTCTTAGGGTCGATCCGTCCGGTCTCAAGCTGGTCGGGCCCTCATGGCAGTGTCCTCGACTGCTGCGAGCGTCCCCGACCCCAGCCCTTGCAGCCAGAACCTCCCAGGGCTCTCAGAGCGGCCACGGCCACCGGGAGTGTTGGGCGGCGCTGTGCCCCTGGCCACGTCCCTCAGCAAAGATGAGAAACCGCTGATAAATTTTTGTGTCCACGTCTGTGCTGTGACCAGAGTCCCTCTGGTCTCTGAAACCCAGTGGCTATGAGATAATGCTTTATGTCTTTATTCTATATTGATATATCTCTATTGTTTGTGAAGTACCTTCCTTTGAAGTTTTGGTTTCTTTGTGTTGGACTTTGGTTTTTTCATTTGGATTTGTTTGTTTCTTTTCATTTGGGGCGAAAAGTGAGCGGGGTGGGGGAGAGAAGCAGCCCCGTTTATATTTAAATGCTTTTGTACTTTGTTTTCCTCCTTTGTGTCTTTCTCCTCCTCTGTCTCTCTCCCTGCTGCTCCTCTCTCCCGCCCGCCCGGCAACCCGCGCTCCCCAGTCCGCCGCGTGGCCCCCCGCTTCTCCATCCTACCCATGAGCCACGAGATCATGCCCGGGGGCAACGTGAACATCACCTGTGTGGCCGTGGGCTCGCCCATGCCCTACGTCAAGTGGATGCAGGGCGCCGAGGACCTCACGCCCGAGGATGACATGCCCGTGGGCCGCAACGTGCTGGAGCTCACGGACGTCAAGGACTCAGCCAACTACACCTGCGTGGCCATGTCCAGCCTGGGCGTCATCGAGGCTGTGGCCCAGATCACCGTGAAATGTGAGTGGGGGCGGGGCCGGAAGCCGGCACTGCACAGCCGCTGCTGGGCACGGCTGTGAAGAAAGTGGTTCTTAGCAGGGCACAGTGACTGGCACCTAGGAGGCTGAGGCAGGAGGGTCGCTGCCGTGTCAAGGCTACCTTGGGCTTTGTCTCAAAAAAAAAAATCAATCAGACAATCAGAAAGGTGGTTCTTGGAACCAGTGTTTATTGGCTAACAGTCATGTGTCATTTAACGACAGGGATGTGCCCCAGAAAGTGTCGTTAACTACTCTTGTAAGAACATTACAGTGTGTCCTTTTTTTTTCCCCCTGGTGCCGGGACTGAACCCAGGGACTTTGCACTGAGCCAGCCCTTTTAATTTTTTTTTTTATTTTGAGACAACAGTGTGTCCTTTTTTCCCCCTGGTGCCGGGACTGAACCCAGGGACTTTGCACTGAGCCAGCCCTTTTAATTTTTTTTTTTATTTTGAGACAGTATCACCAGGTCACTACGTTTGCTCAGGTTAGACTCAAACTTGGGAGTCCTCCTGCCTCAGCCTCCCAGAGTACGACCAACTAGTTTACAGTAGGTTTGCCACAAACCTGAGAGGAAAGTGACCCATTACAGTGGCTAGTGTCAGTCATTGGTACAGATTTTTAAGGACCGCTGTAATCTAACAAGACTGTTTAGATATTCAGCTCACTGAAATGTCATGTGGGTCCACGAGTGTAATCATCCTCAAGCCGAGGGCAGTGGCCCACAGTTAGCATCCCAGCACTCTGGGAGGCTGAGGCAGGAGGATAGCAAGTTTGAGCCCAGCCTGGGCAACTTGGCGAGACCTCATTCCAAATTAAAATGTTTAAAAGGGCTGGGGGTGTAGCTGTGTGCAGAGGCCCTGAGTTCAGTCCCCAGAGCTGCAGAAATAAAACCCAAAGCCCCCCAGGTGTCAGCCCGGGCCGTAGTAGACCCACGGCAGCTGTGAAGGAGGCGATGCCTGGGGTCCTCCCGCACTTCACCCTTGAAGTCAGGCCGGAGAGGAGCCGTGGGGCGCAGGGTCACTCAGCCCCAAGCTGTGACGCTGCCTCCCACCTGCAGCTTTGCCCAAGGCCCCCGGGACGCCCGTGGTGACCGAGAACACAGCCACCAGCATCACCGTCACGTGGGACTCCGGCAACCCGGACCCGGTGTCCTACTACGTCATCGAGTACAAGTCCAAGAGCCAAGACGGGCCGTACCAGATCAAGGAGGACATCACCACCACGCGCTACAGCATCGGCGGGCTCAGCCCCAACTCGGAGTATGAGATCTGGGTGTCGGCCGTGAACTCCATCGGCCAGGGGCCCCCCAGCGAGTCCGTGGTACCTCCACCATGATCGTGCAGTGGGAGGAGCCCGTGGAGCCCAACGGGCTGATCCGCGGCTACCGCGTGTACTACACCATGGAGCCCGAGCACCCCGTGGGCAACTGGCAGAAGCACAATGTGGACGACAGCCTGCTGACCACCGTGGGCAGCCTGCTGGAGGACGAGACCTACACCGTGCGTGTGCTGGCCTTCACATCCGTGGGCGACGGGCCGCTCTCGGACCCCATCCAGGTCAAGACGCAGCAAGGAGGTGAGGCCACCTCGCCCCGGGCCCACGCGCACGATGCATGCGTTCGCCTAGGGCGCTGGCATCCTGGCACTCTGGGAGGCCGAGGCAGGAGGGTCTCCGGTAGTTCCAGCCCAGTCTGAGCAACTTAGCGAGACTCTGTCTCAAAATAAAAAAGAAAACAAGTGCTGGGGACGGAGCTCAATGCGAAGGCCCTGGGTTTAATCCCTGGTGCCGCAAAGGAAAAATTCAGGTGAGTGTTACAAAGCAGCGTTGTTCCAAGGAAGTCCATGGGGCTGGCTTCCCTTGGGAAATGGGTTTGGCATGGCCATGAGGCTGCTGTCGAAATCCCCGAGGCCCTGTCTGAGACGAGGGCGCCCGGCCCGTTCTGCTCCCTCTCGTCCGTCGTCTTCCACCCACTGGCACTTGGGTTTGCAAACCCCGGTCTGCTGCGGGCGTGAAGGAGCCAGCGCCGCCTTGTTTGAAATAACACCTGAGAGATGCCTCAGCCTGCCTGGCCCGTGGGAGGGCTGTTTGGGGTTCCCGGACCTTTCCTTTGGGGTTCTGACCTTCAAACCCTACGGCTGAGGAGCTCGGGCACCTGAGTGATGGGACTGGGTAGCCGGACCTCTGTGAGCGGGACGCAGAATGGGCAGCCAGGTTTTCAAACAGGCGTCCGCCCCTCCGCTGTCACTGAACTGGCAGAGGGCGAGGGCCGCATTTCAGTGGTGGCTCGGGCTTCCTCTTTGCGTGGCTTTCCATCGTGAGGAGAGGGACGGGGAACGGAGGCGGAGAGACGCCAGGGGAGCCTGGGCGCCCATCCCCGCCCTCTCCCTCCTGCAGTGCCCGGCCAGCCCATGAACCTGCGGGCCGAGGCCAAGTCAGAGACCAGCATCCGGCTGTCGTGGAGCCCCCCGCGGCAGGAGAGCGTCATCAAGTACGAGCTGCTGTTCCGCGAAGGCGACCGGGGCCG